CAGGCCAAGCAGGCCCGGCCCCTGCCGAACGGAGTTGTCGGCGCAGCGAAGCGGAGCTGGCAACTCTGTTTGGCGGAAGGGCGGGCCTGCTTGTTGCTGTTTGGTAAGGGAGTGGGGGGATTTGGACGTCCAGGGGGGAGGGGGGGTACCCGAAAACCGGACACACCGAACAGGGGGGATGGAGGGGTCATTTTTGGCAAAAACGACCGGACGGTCCTTTATGGATGGCCCCTTATGCAATCGACCTCGTGTCTGTGTCTCTGTGTGTTTGTCTGTTCCACTAGAAGGCGATGTGCTAGAGACTTCAAATTTTCAGGGTATCTTAAATTTTACTCCTAGAAAACGAGACGCCTACGGCAAATCCTGGCAACCACCGCTAAGGGGCTGAAAGGGGGTATCAGAGAAAATGAGGTAGGTCAAAAAAGTCAGTTTTTTTTTTTAATGATCTCGTAAGGGGCAACGCGTTTCAGTAGAGCCGTTAGTGCGAAAATTTAGTCCGTTTGGCTCTATCTCTAACCGTTTAGGCGCTGGAGGGTCTTTTTTGACGAAAATAAGCTAAAAATTGCTGCAGTGAACTATAAGTTGTAGAAGAAGGCCTTAAACCGCAAAAGAAGAAAGAAACCCGCCCCCCCCCCAAAAAAAAAAGTTTTCTAAGCAGAAGGGTGGGTTGTAGTCGCGGTGCTTCACCGTTACATCCCTTTCTCGTGTCTACGGGGCAAATTTTAAGGACGACGGGCTTTGCGGGCCAAAGGTAGGGCTCTCACTTTTACCCGCGTACCCGGGTAACCCGAGTACCCGCCCGCCCGGGTAGGAACCGGGTAAACGGGTCTTACCAGGTAACACGGGTTTACCCGGGTACCCAAGTAAAACCGGCGGAACCGCGCCTGTAGGTACGCAATTTGACATGCCCGGTCTACCCGGGTATCCGGGTTACCCGGGTTATCCGCTGTTACCCGATAGGAACCGTTTACCCGGTTCCTACCGGGGTTACCCGGGTACCCGCTGGTCCGGGTTTTGAGAGCCCTAGCCGAAGGCCCGTTACATCATTCGATTATGTTCTTCAGCAAATCGCGTGACAGTAATGGTCGGGCCGCCGGCAGTCCAAGCAGGCCCGGCCCCTGCCGAACGGAATTGCCGGCGAAGCGAAGGTAGCAACTTCTTTTGGCGGAAGGGCGGGTCTGCTTGTTTTTTGAACGGAGAGCATTAGCACAATCGGGGAGTAGGCAGGCACTGTGCGTTAGTACTTTTGAATGCACGTCTAAATGAGCAATGCCCGAAACGTAACATTACCCCAGCAAAGCGTTGGACTAATCAAACTCGACGTATCCCGACAGAATGGGCGTATCTGTTTTGGGCCGGGGCAGAAAGGGCATATCTTTGTAGCAACTGCGAGAAAGAACGTATCTGGTTTGGTGCAGAACAGAGTAGGCGTAACCCGCTTATCGTGGCTATTTGAGTTTATTGCACAAAAATATCCTAGATTATTCCCTCTTCAAGTTTATCAAGAAAACTTTATGAATTCACGGTAAAAACGAAGTCCCATTTTTTGAGGGAAAAGGGAATACTTTGAGGGAGTCAGTAACTTTGAGGGATCTTTCTTGAAAAATAAGAACGACCCTCAAAGTAAGTCACAAATTTTGAGGAGGTCCCTCAATGTTAACGTGGCTGCTGCTGCGCCCACCTCGCTACTTTAGAGCTTTGTAACAACTGATCAAATTGTCAGTTGGTCAAAGTGAATGTATTTCTCTTAGTTTTAGAGCTGCGGAACTCGTCCTGCAAAGTTTGATGCGTGTACAATGAGAAAAAACGAAACTGAATTTGCGAATGATTTACGTGTGCAAGTACGTCTGAAAGCACGTGAACCATTCAAAAAATCTGTTTCGTTTTTTCTCATCGTACACACATCAAACTTTGCAGGACGAGTTCCGCAGCTCTAAAACTAAGAGAAACACATTCAATTTGACCAACTGACAATTTTATCAGTTGTTACAAAGCTCTAAAGTAGCGAGGTGGGCGCAGCAGCAGCCACGCTAACTTTGAGGGACCTCCTCAAAATTTCTGACTTACTTTGTGGGTCATTCTTATTTTTCAAGAAAGATCCCTCAAAGTTACTGACTCCCTCAAAGTTTTCCCTTTTCCCTCAAACAATGGGACTTCGTTTTTACCGTGATTCAAACGAGAAGTATTTCTTTTTCAGAAAAAACGATTTGGCGTACCTGCAGCTTCAAGCAAATCGCCCGCGCAGAAAGGCTGTAACTGACTTGCGTAGTCACGTAGGACCGAGACCGAGCCTAGATCCTTGCCGAGTCGAGCCAAGTCGTTTTTGGTCGTGGCGTCAAGGGTGCGTGTAGTAATGTGAGACTTGGTTCCACAGATTTTAGTTTTGAAAAAAGTAGCTTATGATACATACTCATGCCAAAGCGACCCTTTTCACGGGCGGAAAGATTTGCTATCCATGGGAGAAGTCAGTATGAGGCTGAGAAAAAAACACAAAAAAGAGCCAAAGCAGAAATGTAAGCCACCTAACCTCTTTGTGACTCTATTCTTTATTTATTATTTAAATAACCCTCGAAGATATTGTCAGTGTTTTTATATCATTCAACGCAGAAAAAATTGTTGAGTCACCTCAAATTTTTTCCTCGCGAGTACGACGTCATAGCCCTTCCAACTTTGAATTCCATCTCCTGGAAAACCAACTTTTAGCAGATACGCCCATTCTGTTCTGCACCAAAACAAGTACGCCGATTCTGTCGGGATACGTCGAACTGGTTGCTGTCAAAGTATAAGCGTGTTCCAGACACCAAGTGCAGCCAAGGTGAACCCTTGATTTCGGCTGGGTCTGGGTGTAGTCAGTGTACTCCGAGTGTCCCTTGCGTGATTAGGCTACTCTCCGCGTACTCCTGGCATGGTGTACTATGTCCGTATCACAAATTGGTGACCCCTTTGCCGCAAAGACGCTGCATTCGAAAGCCTAATGCCGACTACCCAACAGAATTCTGCTAAGTTCGGTCTTTTTGAATTTCTCTACAAGTGAAGTTAATAGAGGAACTCCAGAGATCCTCGGCGACTCAATCTCTTCGAAAATCGGTGTCTAAAAATCGGCTCAGAACTGATCTATAATTTTCGGTGCCCTGTGTCAGAGTGGGCAGCTCCGTTTCGCGGGAGGCAGGTAGAGAAACGTACGGTCTACTCGACGGCGATGGTCTGGAAACCGACAGTGCGAAGGAGACGGAGTTAGGTCGGTCGGAACAGAAGTCTCCATCGAAATCTCGTTTTCCGACCCATCCTACAATTGGTAGACCGTCCGTTGGTCACCTTTGGGAGCAGGCCGTGTAGCATGTTACCTGTACCTGAGCGCTGTAGCACAGGGGCACGAATACGACGATTATTATGGGCGCTGAGGAGAGGAGGTAGCCATCTACTTGGCCCTGCACGGCGTCGTAAGTGCCCTGTATGGGCAGCGCCAGTACGCCGACAAACAGCATAGGCAAGCCAGCCGAAGTCACAGCGTCTAGAAGTGATGCTGACTGAGTC